CCAGGTCCTATAACTAATTAGTGCTGGGACCCCGAGCAAGTTTTTGTACCTCTCTGAGTTTAGAATTTTCATTACAAATGAGATGACTGTATTGAGACTTCTAAAGTCCCTCTTAAGTAAAATGTGCAGCTTTTTTTCTTCTTGCCTACTGCTCACTACCTAAATTTGTAATGTCCAAGTACTGATTCCCTATTAGGTCAAATTCTTTTCTTTAGTTTAACTGTTTTAATAGATACCTCACCGTGGGGTAGAAGAACTGAGGAATGAAAATTAAACTTATTTTTCTATTTATTTGATTCTCTTTACTATTTCAGGTCAGCTCTGTTTTGACTAGGATATAGTTTTTAAACTATTTGTACATAAACTTTTATTATTTTTCTTTTTATTGAAATATATTCAGGTATGCACACCATCTTTATATAGTTCATGAATTTCAGGACAGCTATATATAAATCTTTTTTAAAAACCTAATCATGTTAAAAACACTGAAAAAGTTGGGTTAAAGAAATCCTGTGGTGACTTCTTCTGTTAAATACTAATTTTTGCCTTATAAATATGGTTTGTTATGTATTGGGTTTTCACAAAGGAAGGTATCTTAATGAACTATAGTTTACTTGACCTTTAGTAGAGAATGAAAACTAATGGGATAAGAGTTTTCTTTGGCTGTGAGAATTTGGTGGATTGAGAAAAAAGGAAAATATAACAAAATACTGAATTTTTAATTAACATTTACCTAATGGATCCTCCTGAATTCTCACATGCCCCCAAGACTACAATACTGGGTTTTTTCTTCTTCAGGACTTAAACTTTGGAAGGGAAATTTTGCCAACGCATCTAAAGTCCGTCTCTATTGCCCTCTCCTCAAACGCCTGGAACATGAGCCCTCCAGGTTAGACCTAACTGTAAAACACAGTTGGTGCACCATTTGAAACATTTGGTCTTAGAAGAAACAGTGTTACCTCTTTATAAATCAGTTAAAGAGATTTTCACCCAGGTATTTAAAATGCAGACCACTGTATTTGTCGTCCTGTTAGTGATTTGTGGGCCTTAAATTTAGCATTTAAATCAGAGCCAGAAACTTCCGTTCTTGAAATGTACAAAATGGCTTGACATATCCTCCCCTTAAGATCACAATATTGGTCAGAATGGCAGACTCTCAACCACTGCCTTGGCCCTGCTTGTAGACATACATGAGTAATAAGGCACTTTGTTTAAAAGTATTTATTCAATGTCTTAAATTTCTTAATATGTCCCCCAAAACACCATGAGCTATTTTCAGTACTGAGATTTATTAAAAATTGTAGCTATTAGTCACCTCAGATTTTCAAACAGACTGAACTAAAACCTGGGATTTTATTATAAGGGACTTTTTTGTTTCATTTAATGAAATTTTGGTCTTTTGAACTACTTTCCTGGTATCAAAGCATCTTCAGACCACCATTCAATAACAAAAATAAAAACAAAATAGACTACTTACCTTAATAAGAGGAAAATCATTTGCTGTATTATAGATGTATACTATAATGTCCATGTTGTAGAGACATTGCATTTTTAAGAAATAAAACCAGATATCGTGGTTGTCATCTCTAAATGGATATTGAAGCATTGTAACTAAACCTAGCTGCCCATTTTTCGAAATATGTTCAGATACACATCTGAAAGATCAAGTTAATTATTGGCCAATGAGTGCCTATCTGCCACTTTATTAAAGAAAAGGGGACAATGTGACAGTGCAGATACCCCAGAGGTGTGCTTTGGCTGATACAGAAACATTCTTAAGTTGAATTTTATGTTCCCTTTCAGACTATTAATGCAAAGGATTATAGAATATCATTTTTTGAAATATCGAGTACTGTTTTATCACCATCATATCTCTTTTAGCCCCCCAAAATTACATTTTAGATTCTACACCTTCCTCCTTTCTCCCTCTCCTTTCTTTACTGTTCTTTTGTTTGTTTCTTTTTGTCAGGTTAGAAAACTGTACTTAGCAAGGGAGAGTTTCTTATTTGTGCCAAGGAACTGTTGATGAGGATACATACTGGCAAGATAGTAAATTTGCAGTGCCTGCTTTTTTATATTTCTGACACAAACGGGGAAAGTCATGAAACCAATTTACTAGGTTTGTCTGCTTTAAACATTCTTGAAAATAATATTGTGAATAATCATTTGTTGTCTGTGTAAATTCCCTCTAAATAGTGCCTGGCACATATCACGTGTGCTATAGAAGTGTTAGCTATTCCTACTACCGCCGTTTATTATTATTAAATGTCTACTGGTTAAAAAACCAAGGTGTCAGCTAAATCATACCTGCTACTGTACAAAATGTTGGAAAGAAGCTGAGAAAAAATATTCAGCACTAAACACTTTTGAGAACAAGGATGTATACTTTGGATATTTTAAAATATATTATTAAATGTTACTAAAACTTTATACACTAAACTGTGTGAAAATAATTTTGTAGAGTTGTATTTCTATATTCTCTATAGTTGAAGCTATTTTTATATTGATAGTCTTTAATAAAGATAGTTTGGAGGTTTATTTGCAGTTTTGTTGTCTTTTCATGCATTCATCCAACAAATAATTGACTTTCTGCTCTGTGCCAAGCCCTGTTCTGGATGCCGGGGATAAAGCAGTGAACAAAACAGCTAAAAATTCCTGCCTTCATGGACCTGATGTTCCCGGGGGGGAGGCAGGCCACAAATAAGACAAATAAGTAAAATATATCGATAAAAGCTAAGAGGAAAAAAAAAAACTGAAGGAAGAAAATGGGATATGAAGTGTGAGAACTGGGGTGACCAGGGAAAGGGTTGCCGAGATGATCCTAGACCTGAACTAAGAGAGAAAACTAACCATGCTGATTTCTGAGGAAAGCAGATTGAACAACTCAAAGGCCCTGAGACTCTATACTTTTAATATCAACATATAAATCACCAGAACTTTTTTTGTTCCCTAAATCAGTAAATAAAATGCAATGCAGCTAAACATTTTTAGCTCAGTGTATTGAAAAGAGCTGATTCATAGCTCTTAAGGTAAAAAAAGAAAAAAAAAAGCTACTTTTGCTGTCTTCTATGAATGAGTGTATGTCAGAAATACACTTGAGGATATCATAAAGCAATATGCTATAAACACCGTCAACTATAGAGTCAGAAGGGGTTGGGGGGCGGGGGGGAAGGAGGCAAGGAAGGAAGAGAAAATCTCCCTGGAGAGCAACAGAACACTTGCTTTTTCTGTCTGAGATGTGTATGATCCCTGTGACCAGAGAAGTTCCTTTGACCTCTCTTGGCACCTTAAAAAGAGTCTTGCCCAGAGTGTGACTCAAGTATTCCCCCTGCCCCCTTAAATCTCTTCCCGTATGCTTGTTAATACTTCAAATTCCCTTAAAGGAGACCGAAACCTTTCATTATTCATATTTTTGCGGATAAAACATCAATCACTTCTTGAATTTGCAATGGATTTCACAAAGGATTTTGAAGTTCAGGCAATGAGAAGACTTTAAATCTTTTAAGCCTAGGAATAATGATTAATGCAATTGTTTCAGAAAGATTAATCTGGCAGCAGCATGTAAAATGGAGAGAGATTTGGCTGAAAATCCAGTTAAGAGCCAAGCTGCTAGGGAAATGAAGATAGCATTAAACATGGTACCAGTAGGACTTGCCAACTGGTTTTGTATGAGGTAATCAAAATATAAACAAAATTCCTGCTCTGGAATCCTGGCCTAAATGTGTGGTTTTGTACTAGTGATAAGTCGTATTAAAAGTGCAAAAACACACTTGAGATAATAAAAAACTGGAACCTCAAGTTCACAAAAGTAACTCATTCATGTTTTGTAGATGTGTTTCAAGACTGCAGGTCCTACAGAGTAAGAGATGATAAAATAGAATCTCTACTTATTAGAAACCATCAGACTAGCTATAAAAAGAAATCAGGAATATATTATATACTATCACAGAAGGATCTCCAGGATGTATAAAGTGAAAAAAAGCAAGGTGAAAGAAAATAGAGCAAGAGACATTATGTGCAGGATAGATGTACATCTACTGTGTATTCTTGCCCAGAGTCAGACCTGAATTTGATAAGCTTCCAGATGAATTCTCAGTGTGCTATGAGTATAGATGTCACAAGACCTCTTCTGAGACACCATGAGATAAAAACTTTTCTTATTAATACTGAAACGCGGGCGCCTGGGTGGCCCAGTTGGTTAAGCAACTGCCTTCGACTCAGGTCATGATCCTGGAGTCCCTGGATCGAGTCCCGCATCGGGCTCCCTGCTCGGCAGGGAGTCTGCTTCTCCCTCTGACCCTCCCCCCTCTCATGTACACTCTCTCATTCTCGCTCTCTCAAATAAATAAATATTTAAAAAAAAAAATACTGAAACGCTATTTGCCTGTTTCACTCTCATTCTCTCGGTGCAGTGGAGTTTTCCAGCAGCTTACACGATGTGTGGTATTGCAGTAGAGTGGGGACAAGTCAGGCATTAAAGAGATTTTCAAAAATATAAAACAAGGCTATTCTCATTTTTTTTGTTTCGAAAAATAGTTACTTTTTATTTAAAATGTTATTTATATCATAGGTTACTTTAAGTTAATATTTTTAAATTTTCCGTTTCAGTTTCTGAAATGGTATCAATATGTGTAACACAAAAACAGAAGCTTCCTTGTGGTCCTAATTTTTTAAGAGTGAAAAGGGGTCGTAAAACAAAAAGGCTGCGAAACACTGTTCTAGAACAGGTCATTGGTTCTCAGCCTTGCACATTAGGATCCCTAAGCCCAAGGATTAGTTAAAACAGCCCAGCCCTCTCTCCTTCGGTCAGTATGGATTGGGACCACAGCTCCAGATAAAATTACCAATTTAAATAAAATACAGAAGAAAGAGGAACATGTTAAATTAAGCCACTGGGGTGCTATCAGCAACGGCAGACTGAAAACGTGACTAGATAAACAAATCCCTGCCAGATTAAAGGAGCTGAAATTGAAGAGATTTATAAGAGAAAATGGAAGGATAACCCTGGTAACTAAAACTAAACTTGGCTTTTAGTTGGTTTGCTACTCTGTTCTAGTTTTGGCTCCTAAATATCCTTACACTGGACTAGCTCTCCCAGCTCCCTTCCTGCACCTCTGCGATTCAGTACCCACGGCCTGCTGACCCTGCGGGCAGCAAGCAAAGCCCCCATGGAGGATTGTCAAGACCGCATTCGGCGCCGAGGAGCCACGTGTCGGAAGTCACGTGGCCGGTGCCGGAAGGCGGGAGGCGGTTGGAGGCGCCTGCGCAGCTCCGGGGAACCCGGGCCCTGCACGCCGATATCCCGGCATCCTGAGCGCTGCTTTCCCGCCAGGACGACACTGAAGCGGATTTCTGCTTCCCTCCGTCGTCCTTCTCAGCCTTGTTTCCCACTGCTGCTGCTTGTTTTTACCTCCACTGTCCCACCATGCAGCGTGAACCTCCGAAGAAGAAGCAAGAGAAGAAGTCGGAAAAGCGGCTCTTTGACCCCGCATCGTTCGGGAAGGACCTGCTGGCAGGCGGGATCGCGGCGGCTGTGTCCAAGACTGCCGTGGCCCCCATCGAGCGGGTGAAGCTGCTGCTGCAGGTGCAGGCGTCGTCCAAGCAGATCAGTGCCGAGGCGCAGTACAAAGGCATGGTGGACTGCCTGGTGCGGATTCCCCGCGAGCAAGGTGCGTACCAGAGGCCACCGTGCCAGCCGTTCCCATTCTAGGTCAGCTTCCCAGAAAAGGGGGTGGAGCGAGAGGGGATGGACTGCACCGCAGCCGCATCGGTCGGTGATGAGTTTTTTTCTTCACTGTGCACAGAGAATTCAGTTTCTTAACCACTCTCAAGAGGCTAGGCTTCCTGGAGCCCAGAAGGCCTATAACGTGACCAGTCCTGGGTAGGAGAGGCCACCACATTCTCTTTCTCTTAAGTTTCTCCTCAACATCAGGATTTACACCTTTGTGCAGTTGTGCCTGGCTCAAAAGGAAAGCGGTTGACCTCCCAGGATTGAGGGAGATGCCATTAGGTACTTGGCTGTATGTTAACAGGTGCTTTAAGGTGCTTAAGTATTTGTTGAAATAGTACTTTTAAGAGAAGTACTCCAGGTACGGAAGTGTCGGAGCCTCCCAGTACTCTGGTTCCTATTCAGTGAAAAGAGGTTCTGTTTATTCTTGAGAACTACTGAAGACCAGGGCGGAAACTAAAGAGGCATTCACCCCTACAGAAACTTGTGGAGGGCTCCCAAAACTCAAAAAGACAAATGATACAAATCAAAATGCGAAAAATCCAAGATGAGCAAAATATCAAAATTTTAAATAAAGACAGTAGTATTTTGCATCAGCCCTGCCTTAATTAAAATTTTGATCTTTTTTCATTGTGGAGGGTTTTTTTTTCCAGGATTATTGAAATGATTTCAAGGAATAAATAATGAAAGTGCTTTGTTAATCATTAAATATCCTCCTGTTGCAGAATTGCTCCTAAGTTAGCTAAGTGGATAAGAGGATAAATTTATCAGCAATTTTCTGTAATTCACCCACGTAGTTGATTTCAGTTGAAAACTCTATATGAGGGCGCATGGGTGGCTCAGTTGGTTAAGCAACTGCCTTCGGCTCAGGTCATGATCCTGGAGTCCCGGGATCGAGTCCCGCATCGGGCTCCCTGCTCGGCGGGGAGTCTGCTTCTCCCTCTGACCCTCCCCCCTCTCATGTGCTCTCTCTCTCAAATAAATAAATAAAATCTTTAAAAAAAAAAAAAAAGAAAACTCTATATGAACTTTAAAAAGGATATAGGCTTATTTATTGTGTATTCTGAACAAGAAGTGAACTGGCTTCAACTCCAGTGCCATCCTTTCTTCCACTCCTATGTCTATGGTTACTCTTCCATGAAAAAAGCCTTCTCTCCCTAGGGATGTAGTTACAACTCCTCTTGAGCTGTTGAGTGTAGTATTTAGGGTGGAGTGTAACTCTTTTTTTTTTTTTTTTTTTAAGATTTTATTAGAGAGAGAGCACAAGCAGGGGGAATGGCAGTCCGAGGGAGAAGCAGACTTCCTGCTGAGCAAGGAGCCCAACGCGCCGGGCTCAATTCCAGGACCCTGAGATCATAACCTGAGCCGAAGGCAGATGCTTAACCGACTGAGCCACCCAGCTCAACCGGCTGATGCCCCTAAGTGTAACTCTTAAGGCATCATCTAAGTTGTAAATTTAGAATGCCCATCTAGGGAGCTGAGCTCAGGTCTTTCATAGTGCTTCATATTTCTCCACTCCCATTTGTTTTATCACAGTAAGCTTCCCATTTCCACCAGGGTTTTTAAAGGAAAAGTGGGAACCTCTCTCTTCTTGGGTGATATTCTAAGACCTTTTCAGAGAAGTAAGGGACTCTGTTATCTATTAGCTAATCTGCTTTAAATATTTAGTCAGGTAAAGTTAAATATCCTGGTCAGATTGTGCTGATCAGTGCTAATTCATTTTATATTTTAAGTGTTTTAAATGATATTTAAACCTAAACATACTCAATATGGCTCTTGTAAATTGAGAGCATTCTGAATAGTATTCCAGTCCCTGTTTTCTTTACCTTCCAATGAGATGATCATAAGCAGAACTTTAAGATGTTTTCTATTCTTATATACAAGGCTTTGTTATGAATACACACACCATGGTATATTGTGCTAAGAGATTAGAATTCACAACAGAGATAATATTGCCACCTAGGGGCATTTTTTTTACAAACTTGTAGGGAATTTTTTGTTTAGCACAAAGATAGAAGGGTGTAATCCTTAATTGCAATGATGTAAAAGGCACAAACCAGGGATGATAAACATCCTGCTGCTGTACATGGCCAGTCCTACACAACAAACACTTATCCTACAACCTGAATGACTCAGTTCTCCCACTGGACATTCTTGTAGCAGTAAAACCTGTTTATGATTTTCTACGCCTAGAACCTAACTCTGATTTACTTATAAACACAAACTATCTGGGACAGTTTCCATAAACACTGATCCCAGAAATGCAGCTACCATGTGAGTAGAGGGAATGCTGTACTTTGTTTTGTTAAGAATTGTACCTTATAAGAGGCACCTGGGTGGCTCAGTCGGTTAAGTGTCTGACTCTTGATTTTGACTCAGGTCATGATTTCAGGGTTGTGAGTTGGATCCCCGCCTCAGGCTCTGTGTGGGGCTCTGCACCAGGTGGGCGTGGAGCCTGCTTAAGATTCTCTCTCTCTCTCCCTCTTCCTCTGTCCCTCCCCTGCTAAAACAATTGTACTGAGAACTGTTCACCATTGGGAAAACTCACCAATTCTTCTTGTGATATTTGGTCACCACTTAACTATTGAATTCATGATGATTGCACATTTATATACACAAATATATTTATTAAGCCCTTTTAAAAGAAATGTTAATGGTATCTTAAGTATAACATTCATTATTAAGTAGAGGCAAATATCTGACCATTTTGTCTATGGTGTGTTCATGCCTCACCAATTTACTAATTAAAATACCTATTTTATTCAGAATGTCTTTATTTTCTCTTCCTGTAGAGAGGGCATTATATGGATTTGTAAAAAATTGTTGAAGAGGTCACAGTCTTTGAATCCTATTTCTAGATAGTAAAGGAAATATTGTAAAATATTTGTTCTGTATAGAGGACTTGAATCTGGTAAGTTTGAGAATCACTGTGGTAGATCATTCTGGAATTTACTGAGGCAGTCAAGTTCTGAAATTATTTTCTGGAATTTACCTTCTGTCATTTTTTTTGAAAATCAAGACACATCTCCATCTCAAATGTTCTGAAGTTTCTTTTGTGTTTCATGTTTGCTCTAATTTTACTGATAACTTTTCTGTAGGCAACATGAAATGAGCCTGAGAGAATGAACTCCTTAGGCACAAGTAGATGCTCTCACACTATCTTACCTTATCTCTGCTTTCTTTCTACTCCAAAGATAGATCTCTTCATTTTAAAGCTCTGAACTTAGCTTTAAACATCTCTTTGGGTACCTTTCATACTTCTTATAAGCTTTCCTTGGCTTATGAAATCTTCTGGATTTATCTTGGCTGATGCTATTCTTAAAGATTTATTCTATTCTTGGGGCGCCTGGGTGGCTGTCATTAAGTATCTGCCTTCAGCTGAGGTCATGGTCCCAGAGTCCTGGGTTCGAGCCCCGCATCAGGCTCCCTTTTCAGCAGGAAGCCTGCTTCTCCCTCTCCCACTCCTCCTGCTTGTGTTCCCTCTTGCTGTGTCTCTCTCTCTGTCAAATAAATAAATAAATAAATAAAAGATTTATTCTATTCTTTAGTTGGTTGTAGGACCTTCCAACTTCGTGTGCATTTAATTTAATGCTGTTTAATCCTTTATTATACAAATAATGCATGTTTATTATAGAAAGTTAGAAAATATAAAGAAGCAGAAAGTAAAACAAATCACTACTAAAATCACCACAGTTAACATTTTGGTGTCTATGCAATAATTTTTCACTGGGCACAATATGCATATATGTAAGAATATTTTAAATTAAAATAATTGTTTTATTTAATACATTGTAAACCTAATCTTTTGAAGATCTGATCTGTGCAGCTCATTTTTAAGCACCTACCAGATCTCTTTTCTTTTTTAGGAGTTTCTGGCCATGAGGTTTTTTATATCTTGAAAACAGTGTTTTGGGGTATGGAAAGAAAATATTAGGCATTCACTTTAAATAAAATGGGAAAATAAACTATGATATTTGGTATATGAGTTGGCACTGGCACCTACGCTTGGGCCAAATGTGAATTATATATTACAGGACACTAAGGCATTCTGGAAAAAAGTATGAATTACACACTGGAGAGGGGATGACATGTACCCTTCCTCAATTATTATATAATAAACATAGTTTATGTTTGCTCAATTGGATTTATAGAGACAAGAAGGCTATTTGAATATTTGAAATGATCAAGAAGACTATTTGAAACATAGATTCATGTATACTGTTCTTAAGAATGAACGTTACCCTAAGGGTGACTTGAGATATATAGCAAATGATGGTATGAAAACATCATGATTAGTAAGACATCTAAAAATGCTGTTTAATTGTTCAAATGAATGCTGAGTTATGCTCTAATATCTCCTAGCCAGAAGTTTTTCCCAACCACCCTATCTAAATAGCCCTTCCTCATTCCTCCATCTCCATATACTATTTTTGTTCTTATAGCCACTTGACATATTTATTTGTTCATTGTCTGTCTCCCTGGTCCCTCCTCTCAAAATACAAGCTCTATAAGACCAAGAAATGTATTCTTTTTTTTTTTTTTTTTCAAGAAATGTATTCTTAATGCTATCCTCAGCAAGTCAGCTACGTACTAGGTACCAAATAAGAGGTTTTTAAATGAAAAAATCTTTATTTCATCCTTTAATTTCTATTTTGGGTATATTTTACAAATGTGCATAATAGAGTAGTATAGTGGAAAATGTATATAATTTTTTTAGTATATATATATATTAGAAAGTCATGCTTACATATTTTTTACTGATAGGCATATTGTCAAAACATGTTGTAGCCCACCAGTCTAGAATATTTATACCCAAACATGCCTAGCATTCTCATTCTTGGCAAATAAGTTCACCAGTAAATGACTCTGTAACTTTTTCTCATTTTCCCATCAGATCTATTATAATTATTATTTTTTTTAGTTTCAAGTTTTTATTTAAAT